AAACCCCAGAACACGGCTGCCATTGCCTCCACAAATCCCAGGACACGGGCGCCATAACTCCCAAAATTCTAGAACACGGCCACCATAACCCCCCAAATCCCAGAACACGGCCACCATAACCCCCCAAATCCCAGGACACGGCCGCCATAAACCCCCAAATCCCAGAACACGGCCACCATAACCCCCCAAATCCAAGGACATGGCTGCCATCATCCCCCAAAACCCCAGAACACGGCTGCCATTGCCTCCACAAATCCCAGGACACGGGCGCCATAACTCCCAAAATCCTAGAACACGGCCACCATAACCCCCCAAATCCCAGGACACGGCCACCATAACCCCCCAAATCCCAGGACACGGCCACCATAACCCCCCAAATCCCAGAACACGGCCACCATAACCCCCCAAATCCCAGAACACGGCCACCATAACCCCCCAAATCCCAGGACACGGCCTCCATCATCTCTCAAATCCCAGGACACGGCCACCATAACCCCCCAAATGCCAGGACACGGCCTCAATCTTCCCTCAAATCCCAGGACATGGCCACCATAACCCCCCCAAATCCCAGGACACAGCCTCCATCATCCCTCAAATCCCATAACACAGATTCATCATCCCCCAAATCCAAGGACATGGCTGCCATCATCCCCCCACATCCCAGAACCATCATTCCCCCAGAATCCCAGGACACGGCCACCATAACCCCCCAAATCCCAGGACACAGCTTCATCATCCCCCCAAATCTAAGGACATGGCTGCCATCATCCCCCAAAACCCCAGAACACGGCTGCCATTGCCTCCACAAATCCCAGGACACGGGCGCCATAACTCCCAAAATCCTAGAATACGGCCACCATAACCCCCAAATCCCAGGACACGGCCACCATAACCCCCCAAATCCCAGGACACGGCCACCATAACCCCCCAAATCCCAGGACACGGCCTCCATAACCCCCCAAATACCAGGACACGGCCTCCATAACCCCCCAAATCCCAGGACACGGCCACCATAACCCCCCAAATCCCAGGACACGGCCACCATAACCCCCCAAATCCCAGGACACAGCCCCCATCATTCCCCCAAATCCCAGGATATGGCTGCCATCACCTCCTCCAAATCCCAGGACACGGCCTCCATCATCCCTGGAAAGTCCCAAAACACGGCCATCATCATTCTCCCAAATCCCAGGACACGCCCTCCATCATCCTTGGAAAGTCCCAAAACACGACCACCATCATTCCCCCAAATCCCAGGACACGGCCTCTATCATCCCTGGAAAGTTCCAAAACACGGCCACCATCATTCCCCCAAATCCCAGGACACGGCCTCTATCATCCCTGGAAAGTCCCAAAACACGGCCACCATCATTCCTCCAAATCCCAGGACACGGCCTCTATCATCCCTGGAAAGTCCCAAAACACGGCCACCATCATTCCCCCAAATCCCATCAGTAACAGACCTCACCTTCTGTGGAGGGTCACCTAGTCAGCCCCCTTAGTCCTGGGTCCGGGATGGAGACATGTTCAGCTGTTTTGGGATCCTCGCCATTGGCAGATCTTCTTCGTGAACGTGATCTGCTGGTGACACGCCCAGTGCCTCTGATCTTCAAACGTCTAATCAACTGCTCCACGTTCTCCCGGCCGAGGGCCACATCTGTTCCCCAAATCCTGAATTCTGCACCCCTCTTCTATGCTACATGAAGGGACCTCCAGCCACAGGGCTGCCCAGATCTTCAGAGATGTCCAACTCTAGACGTGTGACCCTCATTACAGCACGACCCGGACCCTCTATAAACATATATATACACAGCTCCACCAATGAGAGGAAGACTCTGAGAACCCATCAGATCCCAATGGGGAGGAATCTCCTGCTGGATCTCTATACTGACATGGACGGGGGATGGGTGAGGAACGTAAGGACGCCCCATCATTGGATGGAAATGATGGACCTACAGAGGACTGAATTCACAGACACCCCGAAAATCAAAGTGAAGAAATGATGGAGCAGGTGAGTCCATGAAATGTCATTGCAGCAACTCAGAATGGCCCTCAGTAGTCTGTGTGGCCCCCACGTGCTTGTATGCATGCCTGACAACGTCGGGGGGAGGATCCTAATGAGACCACGGATGGTGTCCTGGGGGATTTCCTCCCAGATCTGGACCAGGACATCACTGAGCTCCTGGACAGTCTGAGGTGTAACCTGGCGGCGTCGGATGGACCAAAACATGACATCCCAGAGGGGTTCTATTGGATTTAGGTCAGGTGAGTGTGGGGGCCATTCAATGGTATCAATTCCTTCATCCTCCAGGAACTGCCTGCATACTCCTCCCACATGAGGCTGGGCATTGCCAGGAGGAACCCGGGACCCCACCGCACCGGGAGGAACCCGGGACCCCACCGCACCGGGAGGAACCCGGGACCCCACCGCACCGGGAGGAACCCGAGACCCCACCGCACCAGGAGGAACCCGAGACCCCACCGCACCAGCATAGGGTCTGACAATGGGTCCAAGGAGTTCATCCCGATACCTATTGGCAGTCAGGGTGCCATTGTCTAGCCTGTAGAGGTCTGTGTCCCCCTCCATGGAGATGCCCCCCCAGACCATCACTGACCCACCACCCCACCACAACGGTCATACTGAACCATGTTACAGGCAGCAGAATGTTCTCCACGGCTTCTCCAGACCCTTTCACGTCTGTCACATGTGCTCAGGGGGAACCTGCTCTCATCTGTGAAAAGCACAGGGGGCCAGTGGTGGACCTGCCAATTCTGGGGTTCAATGGCCAATGCCAATCCAGCTCTATGGTGCCAGGCAGGGAGCACAGGGCCACTAGAGGACGTCGGGCCCTCAGGCCACCCTCATGAAGTCTGTTTCTGATAGTCTGGTCAGAGACATTCCCACCAGTGGCCTGCTGGAGGAAATTTTGTAGACCTCTGGCAGGGCTCATCCTGTTCCTCCTCCACAAAGGAGCAGATACCGGTCCTGCTGATGGGTTAAGGACCTTCTACGGCCCTGTCCAGCTCTCCTAGAGGAACTGCTTGTCTCCCGGAACCTCCTCCGTGCTCTCGTCTCCCGGAACCTCCTCCGTGCTCTCGTCTCCCGGAACCTCCTCCATGCTCTTGAGACTGTGCTGGGAGACACAGCACACCTTCTGGCAATGGTAGGTATTGATGTGCCATCCTGGAGGAGTTGGACTGCCTGTGTGACCTCTGTAGGGTCCAGGTATGGCCTCCATGCTACTAGTAGAGACACCGACCCGAGCCAAATGCAGAATGAGGGAAAAAACAGTCATAAAAGATGAGGAGGGAAAAAACGTCAGTGGCCTCCACCTGTAAAATCATTCCTGTTTTGGGGGTCGTCTCAATGCTGCCCATCTAGTGCCCCTGTTAAGTTCATGAACACCAAAGCAGCTGAAACTGATGAACAATCCCCTCTGCGACTTCCCTGACCAGATCCTCTGCGACTTCCCTGACCAGATCCTCTGCGACTTACCTGACCAGATCCTCTGCGACTTACCTGACCAGATCCTCTGCGACTTACCTGACCAGATCCATATCCCAGGAGGGTCATCAACTTCATGCGACTCGGATCACAAAGTCGTCCTGTCAATAGTCGGAGCCGTGTACTTCCCTTCTCTCCAAGTCTCGGGTCCTCTTCCTCCTATGTGCTACAGAGGGCGGAGTCACGACAGTCATGACATGGTGCTCCCTCCACGGGGGAAGGGGAGAATTGATACTCCGGGGAGCACAGGAAGTGGATCTAGTATTGCCCTCCCATTGGCTGCTCTGGATGACTGAATGTTGCACAGAAGTAACCAATACCAATCGTTTATTGTCCCAAAATATACAAATATCGTATTTACAGACGGGATTTCTGCCCTCAGTCCAGGTTCACACCTACGCGTTTCACGCCGCGGTTCGCACAAACGCACAGCAGTCCATGTAACATGATGTCCTATGGGGCGGGTTCACACCTACGCGTTTCCCACCGCGATTCATAGAAACGCACAGAAGTCCATGTAACATGATGTCCTATGGGGCGGGTTCACACCTACGCGTTTCCCACCGCGATTCATAGAAACGCACAGAAGTCCATGTAACACGATGTCCTATGGGGCGGGTTACACCTACGCGTTTACCGCCACAATTTGCAAAAATGCACAGCAGTCCATGTAACATGATGTCCTTTGGGGCGGGTTCACCCCTACGCGTTTCCCGACGTGATGCATTTTTTTGGAAAGGGGCGGGGACTTTTTTAAACGCAAAACGTTGTTTTTGGTTCTGTAGACTTCAATGGAGACGCTGCAGAAAAGCATGCAGTGCGTTTTTGATGCATTTTTGATGCGTTTCATTCTGCCCAGCAACAAGTTGAAAAAAAAAAAACAAACGCATAAAAACCGCATCAAAAATGCATCACAAAGAAGCACCACAAAAATGGCCGAAACGCCAACTGCACAGGTGTGAACCTCGTCTTCATACCGGCGTGGACACGGGACAACGACTCACAGATACAGACCACATCGAATGACCAACAAATCTACAGCAAAGACAAAGCAATGGAACCATCACTGGAGTATAATTGCCACCACCAATCCGGGGGTGCGGGAGACGGAGAATTCGGGGAGTCCAGGACTGAGCCGCCCACAGAATCCCAATCCGGGAATGATGCCACCCCTACGAAGGACCTCGGACAGAAGATCGATGGTGGAGATAGACAGACGTTCGTCAGGAGCTCCAAGTCTCCTCGGAAAGTCCCGGATCACACCACCTTCTGTCCAATGCCTTCCGCAGAAGAACATTCCGGCAAAGCTTTCCTCCCTCCCCCCGGTTTTGGGAGACAAAACTTTGGTTGGAGAAACGTTTCCACCAGAACTGTAAATTGTCCCATATGAAGATGTCCCAGATTGACCTGTTGTGGCCCCACATTGGAGGCTCACCTCAGGAGAGTTCGGTCAGGTCAAGCTCCCTGTAAACATGAATCCAATATGGCGGCAGGGTCAGAGGGCGAGGGTCTCACCAAGGAAAGTCACAAAGATCCGGCACAGGTTGGTGACTGTTGGTCGGTGAAGGTTCTCCTCTGTGTCATCGTAGGTGTGCCAGACCTCCGGGAATGGTGTGGAGATGACGTGAAGAACAGGAACACCTACAACATACAAGGAACACGCAGATCATTCACTGCCACTGAAAGTAACATGGAAGAGGAGGCTGAGGAATGGCACTGACCTTTCCGGAGGAATGGGATATGGTCATCCTCTACAGCTCCATAGTACAGATGAGGATGAAAGTAGGAATTCTCCAACGAGTGGGACTGCAGGAGATTCAGCCGATGTAACCGCTTCTCTACAGAAAAAGAAAGAATGAGGACGTTCAAAACAGAATGAGAGAGAACGTGCCAGAATGTACATGGGAGAATGAGAGGGAACATTCCTGAATGTACGGGGGAGAATGAGAGAGAACATTCCTGAATGTACAGGGGAGAATGAGAGAGAACATTCCTGAATGTACAGGGGAGAATGAGAGGGAACATTCCTGAAAGTACAGGAGAGAATGAGAGAGAACATTCCTGAATGTACAGGGGAGAATGAGAGGGAACATTCCTGAATGTACGGGGGAGAATGAGAGAGAACATTCCTGAATGTACAGGAGAGAATGAGAGGGAACATTCCTGAATGTACGGGAGAGAATGAGAGAGAACATTCCTGAATGTACAGGAGAGAATGAGAGGGAACATTCCTGAATGTACGGGAGAGAATGAGAGAGAACATTCCTGAATGTACAGGGGAGAATGAGAGGGAACATTCCTGAATGTACGGGGGAGAATGAGAGAGAACATTCCTGAATGTACGGGGGAGAATGAGAGGGAACATTCCTGAAAGTACAGGAGAGAATGAGAGAGAACATTCCTGAATGTACAGGGGAGAATGAGAGGGAACATTCCTGAATGTACGGGGGAGAATGAGAGAGAACATTCCTGAATGTACAGAGGAGAATGAGAGGGAACATTCCTGAATTTACATGAGAGAATGAGAGGGAACATTCCTGAATGTACGGGAGAGAATGAGAGAGAACATTCCTGAATGTACACGGGAGAATGAGAGAGAACATTCCTGAATGTACGGGAGAGAATGAGAGAGAACATTCCTGAATGTACACGGGAGAATGAGAGAGAACATTCCTGAATGTACGGGAGAGAATGAGAGGGAACATTCCTGAATGTACGGGAGAGAATGAGAGAGAACATTCCTGAATGTACGGGAGAATGAGAGGGAACATTCCTGAATGTACGGGAGAGAATGAGAGAGAACATTCCTGAATGTACAGAGGAGAATGAGAGGGAACATTCCTGAATTTACATGAGAGAATGAGAGGGAACATTCCTGAATGTACGGGAGAGAATGAGAGAGAACATTCCTGAATGTACACGGGAGAATGAGAGGGAACATTCCTGAATGTACGGGAGAGAATGAGAGAGAACATTCCTGAATGTACGGGAGAGAATGAGAGGGAACATTCCTGAATTTACATGAGAGAATGAGAGGGAACATGCCAGAATGTACATGGGAGAATGAGAAAGAACATTCCTGAATGTACGGGAGGGAATGAGAGGGAACATTCCTGAATGTACACGGGAGAATGAGAGAGAACATTCCTGAATGTACGGGAGAGAATGAGAGAACATTCCTGAATGTACGGGAGAGAATGAGAGGGAACATTCCTGAATGTACATGGCAGAATGAGAGAGAACATTCCTGAATGTACAGGGGAGAATGAGAGGGACATTCCTGAATGTACGGGAGGGAATGAGAGGGAACATTCCTGAATGTACGGGAGAATGAGAGAGAACATTCCTGAATGTACAGGGGAGAATGAGAGAGAACATTCCTGAATGTACAGGAGAGAATGAGAGGGAACATTCCTGAATGTACAGGGGAGAGAATGAGAGAGAACATTCCTGAATTACGGGAGAGAATGAGAGAGAACATTCCTGAATGTACGGGAGAGAATGAGAAAGAACATTCCTGAATGTACGGGAGAGAATGAGAGAGAACATTCCTGAATGTACAGGGGAGAATGAGAGGGAACATTCCTGAATGTACATGGGAGAATGAGAGAGAACATTCCTGAATGTACGGGAGAATGAGAGGGAACATTCCTGAATGTACACAGGAGAATGAGAGAGAAACATTCCTGAATGTACGGGAGAGAATGAGAGAGAACATTCCTGAATGTACGGGAGAGAATGAGAGGGAACATTCCTGAATGTACGGGAGAGAATGAGAACATTCCTGAATGTACACGGGAGAATGAGAGGGAACATTCCTGAATGTACGGGGGAGAATGAGAGAGAAACATGCCAGAATGTACATGGGAGAATGAGAGGGAACATTCCTGAATGTACAGGGGAAAATGAGAGAGAACATTCCTGAATGTACGGGAGAGAATGAGAGAGAACATTCCTGAATGTACGGGGGAGAATGAGAGGGAACATTCCTGAATGTACATGGGAGAATGAGAGAGAACATTCCTGAATGTACGGGAGAGAATGAGAGAGAACATTCCTGAATGTACGGGGGAGAATGAGAGAGAACATTCCTGAATGTACGGGAGAGAATGAGAGAGAACATTCCTGAATGTACGGGAGAGAATGAGAGGGAACATTCCTGAATTTACATGAGAGAATGAGAGGGAACATTCCTGAATGTACGGGAGGGAATGAGAGGGAACATTCCTGAATGTACACGGGAGAATGAGAGAGAACATTCCTGAATGTACGGGAGAGAATGAGAGAGAACATTCCTGAATGTACGGGAGAGAATGAGAGGGAACATTCCTGAATGTACATGGCAGAATGAGAGAGAACATTCCTGAATGTACAGGGGAGAATGAGAGGGAACATTCCTGAATGTACGGGAGGGAATGAGAGGGAACATTCCTGAATGTACGGGAGAATGAGAGAGAACATTCCTGAATGTACAGGGGAGAATGAGAGAGAACATTCCTGAATGTACAGGAGAGAATGAGAGAGAACATTCCTGAATGTACAGGGGAGAGAATGAGAGAGAACATTCCTGAATGTACAGGGGAGAGAATGAGAGAGAACATTCCTGAATTACGGGAGAGAATGAGAGAGAGAACATTCCTGAATGTACGGGAGAGAATGAGAAAGAACATTCCTGAATGTACGGGAGAGAATGAGAGAGAACATTCCTGAATGTACATGGGAGAATGAGAGAGAACATTCCTGAATGTACGGGAGAATGAGAGGGAACATTCCTGAATGTACACAGGAGAATGAGAGAGAACATTCCTGAATGTACGGGAGAGAATGAGAGAGAACATTCCTGAATGTACGGGGGAGAATGAGAGAGAACATGCCAGAATGTACATGGGAGAATGAGAGGGAACATTCCTGAATGTACGGGAGAGAATGAGAGAGAACATTCCTGAATGTACGGGGGAGAATGAGAGAGAACATGCCAGAATGTACATGGGAGAATGAGAGGGAACATTCCTGAATGTACAGGGGAAAATGAGAGAGAACATTCCTGAATGTACGGGAGAGAATGAGAGAGAACATTCCTGAATGTACGGGGGAGAATGAGAGGGAACATTCCTGAATGTACATGGGAGGAATGAGAGAGAACATTCCTGAATGTACGGGAGAGAATGAGAGAGAACATTCCTGAATGTACGGGGAGAATGAGAGAGAACATTCCTGAATGTACAGGGGAGAATGAGAGGGAACATTCCTGAATGTACAGAGGAGAATGAGAGGGAACATTCCTGAATTTACATGAGAGAATGAGAGGGAACATTCCTGAATTTACATGAGAGAATGAGAGGGAACATTCCTGAATGTACGGGAGAGAATGAGAGAGAACATTCCTGAATGTACACGGGAGAATGAGAGGGAACATTCCTGAATGTACGGGAGAGAATGAATGAGAGAGAACATGCCAGAATGTACAGGAGAGAATGAGAGAGAACATTCCTGAATGTACGGGAGAGTATGAGAGAGAACATTCCTGAATGTACGGGAGAGAATGAGAGAGAACATTCCTGAATGTACGGGAGAGAATGAGAGAGAACATTCCTGAATGTACGGGAGAGAATGAGAGAGAACATTCCTGAATGTACAGGGGAGAATGAGAGAGAACATTCCTGAATGTACAGGGGAGAGAATGAGAGAGAACATGCCAGAATGTACAGGAGAGAATGAGAGAGAACATTCCTGAATGTACAGGGGAGAGAATGAGAGAGAACATTCCTGAATGTACAGGGGAGAATGAGAGAGAACATTCCTGAATGTACGGGAGAGAATGAGAGAGAACATGCCAGAATGTACAGGAGAGAATGAGAGAGAACATTCCTGAATGTACAGGGGAGAGAATGAGAGAGAACATTCCTGAATGTACAGGGGAGAGAATGAGAGAGAACATTCCTGAATGTACAGGGGAGAATGAGAGAGAACATTCCTGAATGTACGGGAGAGAATGAGAGAGAACATTCCTGAATGTACAGGGGAGAATGAGAGAGAACATTCCTGAATGTACAGGGAAGAATGAGAGGGAACATTCCTGAATGTACAGGGGAGAGAATGAGAGAGAACATTCCTGAATGTACAGAGGAGAATGAGAGAGAACATTCCTGAAGGTACACGGGAGAAAATGAGAGAGAACATTCCTGAATGTACAGGGGAGAGAATGAGAGAGAACATTCCTGAAAGTACGGGAGAGAATGAGAGAGAACATTCCTGAATGTACGGGAGAGAATGAGAGAGAACATTCCTGAAAGTACGGGAGAAAATGAGAGAGAGAACATTCCTGAATGTACGGGAGAGAATGAGAGAGAACATTCCTGAATGTACGGGAGAGAATGAGAGAGAACATTCCTGAATGTACGGGAGAGAATGAGAGAGAACATGCCAGAATGTACAGGAGAGAATGAGAGAGAACATTCCTGAATGTACAGGGGAGAGAATGAGAGAGAAACATTCCTGAATGTACAGGGGAGAATGAGAGAGAACATTCCTGAATGTACGGGAGAGAATGAGAGAGAACATTCCTGAATGTACGGGAGAGAATGAGAGAGAACATGCCAGAATGTACAGGAGAGAATGAGAGAGAACATTCCTGAATGTACAGGGGAGAGAATGAGAGAGAACATTCCTGAATGTACAGGGGAGAGAATGAGAGAGAAACATTCCTGAATGTACAGGGGAGAATGAGAGAGAACATTCCTGAATGTACGGGAGAGAATGAGAGAGAACATTCCTGAATGTACAGGGGAGAATGAGAGAGAACATTCCTGAATGTACAGGGAAGAATGAGAGGGAACATTCCTGAATGTACAGGGGAGAGAATGAGAGAGAACATTCCTGAATGTACACGGGAGAAAATGAGAGAGAACATTCCTGAATGTACAGGGGAGAGAATGAGAGAGAACATTCCTGAAAGTACGGGAGAGAATGAGAGAGAACATTCCTGAAAGTACGGGAGAGAATGAGAGAGAACATTCCTGAATGTACGGGAGAGAATGAGAGAGAACATTCCTGAATGTACGGGGGAGAATGAGAGAGAACATTCCTGAATGTACGGGAGAGAATGAGAGAGAACATTCCTGAATGTACGGGAGAGAATGAGAGAGAACATTCCTGAATGTACGGGGGAGAATGAGAGAGAACATTCCTGAATGTACGGGGGAGAATGAGAGAGAACATTCCTGAATGTACGGGAGAGAATGAGAGAGAACATTCCTGAATGTACATGGGAGAATGAGAGAGAACATTCCTGAATGTACATGGGAGAATGAGAGAGAACATTCCTGAATGTACATGGGAGAATGAGAGAGAACATTCCTGAATGTACATGGGAGAATGAGAGAGAACATTCCTGAATGTACGGGGGAGAATGAGAGAGAACATTCCTGAATGTACGGGAGAGAATGAGAGAGAACATGCCAGAATGTACAGGGGAGAATGAGAGAGAACATTCCTGAATGTACAGAGGAGAATGAGAGAGAACATTCCTGAATGTACACGGGAGAATGAGAGAGAACATTCCTGAATGTACGGGAGAGAATGAGAGAGAACATTCCTGAATGTACAGGGGAGAATGAGAACATTCCTGAATGTACAGGGGAGAATGAGAGAGAAACATTCCTGAATGTACAGGGGAGAATGAGAGAGCATGGGGGGAGTATAGAGGAGTCCAGGGGCCATATCATCTAGAATGAGCTTGGGGGGGAGTTGGGGTATAGAGAAGAGAAGCTCCGCCTTCCCAATATCCCAATGGGGCTCTCTGATGCACTGCTTGCATCACAAGACTTCACATGCCCCGCCCATAATTCCACCCCCTCACAGAATATCAATTACAAATAGGATTGTCTGCTTTCACTTTGTCTCTGCTGGACAGACAGCTCCGCCTCCTGAGCCACTGCCAATCAAATGCCTTGGTTGAGGGGGGAGGGGCTTGGTGTTCCATGGGTGGGAGTGCACATGTAGGCGTGGCTACACAGGAAACCGCAAGACAGCATAGCCCCCCCTAAAGGCAGAAATGTTGGGGAGGGGATTATGAGCGGCTGCAATTAGTGGGGGGAGGAGCTCTAATCTCACCAGAAATAACACTTCAATCCCGAATATTGGGAGGGGGAGGGGCAAACACACTACTCATCAACACATCTGATTGGTTCTCCAGGACCATCTGCACCCCACGTGGATCCTCACCCAGGGAGTGGAGCCTCAGGTAGTGACTGGCGGTCTCCTGGAAGTGGTTGAGGATCAGAGGATTCGGAGCTCCCAGCAAATCCAGAAGAACAAAGAGATCCTGAGAGAGAGAGAGACCAATCAGGAGCCATATCCACCGGGACTGGATCCCAGGGGGAGGGGGCGGGGTCACTCTGCTGTAAGCTGTCTCCTTCATACGCTGTGTGGCCAAAAATCCCTGATCCCAACCCCTGAATGTGACCCCTGACCCCAACACCTGACCCGACTGTGATCCCTGTCCCCAACACCTGACCCCTGAATGTGACCTCCGACCCCAACCCCTTACTGTGACTCCTGACCCCAACACCTGACCCCTGAATGTGACCCCTGAACCCAACACCTGACCCTTGAATGTGACCTCTGACCCCCAACCCCTTACTGTGACACCTGACCCCAACACCTGACCCCCTGACTGTAACCCCTGACCCCAACACCTGACCCCCTGACCCCAACACCTGACCTCAACACTTAACCCCTACATCTGACGGTAACCTCTGACCCCAACACCTAACTATGACCCCAACACCTGACCCCGACACCTGAATGTGACCCCTGAATGTGATCCCCGACCCCAACATCTGACCCTTGAACCCAACTCCTGACCCCTGAATGTGACCTCTGACCAACAACTCCTTACTGTGACACCTAACCCCTATAACTGACTGTGACCTCTGACCCCAACACCTGACTGTGACCTCTGACCCCAACTCCTGACTGTGACCTCTGACTCCAACACCTGACTCCCTGAAGGTGACCCCTGACCCCAACACCTGAAACCTGAATGTGACCCCCAACACCTGACTCCTGATTGTGCCCCCTACACCTGACTGTGACCCTTGACCCCTGACTGTGACCCCCCGACCCCAACACCTGACCCCAATCCCGACCCCTGACCCCGCCCCCTGCCTGTGACCCCAATACTTGACCTCAACACCCAACCCCAACACCGGATCCTTACCTGTGACCCCAGCATTGGACCCTGTCCCCTAACCTCAACACCTGACCCCAACACCTGACCATGACTCTGACCCCTATGACCCTCAACATCTGACCCTGACCCCTGAACGTGACCTCAATCCCTGACTGTGACCTTAACATCTGACCATGACACCAAACCTCAACACCTGACCCGACTGTGAACCCAACACCTGACCCCTGACCCCAATCCCTACCCCTGACTGTGACCCCAACACCGGACCCTTACCTGTGACCCCAACATTGGACCCTGTCCCCTAACCTCAACACCTGACCCCAACACCTGACCGTGACTCTGACCCCTGACTGTGACCCCAACATCTGACCCTGATTGTGACACTTTACCCCTGACCGTGAACCCAACACCTGCCCCCAACATCTGACTATGGCCACCGGCCCCAACACCTAAATGTGACAGCAACCCCTGGCCCCCGATACCTCACTGTGACCCCAACATCTGACCCTGACCCCAACATCTGACCCTGACTGTGACACCTGACCCCTGACCATGAACCCAACACCTGTCCCCAACATCTGACTGTTACAGCAACCCCTGGCCCCCGATACCTCACTGTGACCCCAACATCTGACCCAACACCTCACCCCAAACAGTGATTGTGACCACAACATCTGACCACGAACCCTGACCCCAACATCTGACCCTAAACGTGACCCCAACCCCTAACACCTGACTATGACCCCAACATCTGACCATGACACCGGACCCCAACCCCCAACACCTGACCCCAACCCCTGGCTGTGACCCCAACATCTGACCATGATTTCTGAACCTAACCGCTAACTGTGACCCCAACTTCTTGCCCAACACCTGACCTCAACCCCTGACTGTGACCACAACATCTGACCCTGACCCCTGAACGTGACCTCAACTCCTGACTGTGACCCCAACATCTGACCATGACACCAAACCCCAACCCGACTGTGACCCCCAACACCTGACTCCGATCGCTGGCTGTGACCCCAACATCTGACCATGACGCCTGACCCCAGACTTTGACCCCAACATCTGACCATAACCCCTGACTGACCCAAACATCTGACCATGAGCCCTCACTGTGACTCCAACTTCTGACCCTGACCCCTGAACGTACATCTGACCCGACTGTGACCCCAACATCTGACCATGACACAGGACCTCAACCCCTGTGACCTCAACCCCTAGCGGTGACCCCAACATCTGACCATGACCCCTGACTGTGACCCCAACCCCTGACTGTGACCCCAACATCTGACCATGACCCCTGACCCAACCCCTGACTGTGACCCCAACATCTGACCATGACCCCTGACTGTGACCCCAACATCTGACCATGACAATGGACCCCAACCCCTGACTGTGACCCCAACATCTGACCATGACCACTGACTGTGACCCCAACATCTGACCATGACAATGGACCCCAACCCCTGACTGTGACCCCAACATCTGACCAAAACAATGGACCCCAACCCCTGACTGTGACCCCAACATCTGACCATGACCCGACTGTGACCCCAACATCTGACCATAACAATGGACCCCAACCCCTGACTGTGATCCCAACATCTGACCATGACCCCTGACTGTGACCCCAACATCTGACCATGACCCCTGACTGTGACCCCAACATCTGACCATGACCCCAACCTCTGACCAAGACAATGGACCCCAACTCCTGACTGTGACCCCAACATCTGACCATGACCCGACTATGACCCCAACATCTGACCATGACAATGGACCCCACCCCTGTGACCCCAACATCTGACCATGACCCCTGACCATGACCCCAACATCTGACCATGACCCCTGACCCAACCCTTGACTGTGACCCCAACATCTGACCATGACAATGGACCCCAACCCCTCACTGTGACCCCATCTGACATGACCCCTGACTGTGATCCCAACCCCTGACTGTTACCCCTGACTGTGACCCCAACATCTGACCATGACCCCAACCCCTGACTGTGACCCCAACCCCTGATTGTGACCCCAACATCTGAGCCCGACCCCTGGCTGTGACCCCAACCCAACCCTTAACCATGACCTCTGACCCCAACCCCTTACTGTGACGCCAACATCTGACCCAATACCTCACCCCAACATCTGACCATGACAATAGACCCCAACCCCGGACTGTGACCCCAACATCTGACCATGACCCCTAACTATGACAATGGACCCCAACCCAACTGTGACCCCAACATCTGACCATGACAATAGACCCCAACCCCTGACTGTGACCCCAACATCTGACCATGACAATGGACCCCAACCCCTGACTGTGACCCCAACATCTGACCATGACAATGGACCCCAACCCCTAACTGTGACCCCAACATCTGACCATGACCCAACCCTTGACTGTGACCCAAACATCTGACCATGACCCCTGATTGTGACCCCAACCCCTGACACCAGACTGTGACCCCAACATCTGACCATGACCCCTGACCCCAACCCCTGATTGTGACCCCCAACACCTGACCCCAACCCCTGGCTGTGACCCCAACCCTTAACCATGACCTCTGACCCCAACCCCTTACTGTGACTCCAACATCTGAGCCCGATCCCTGGCTTTGACCCCAACCCTTAACCATGACCTCTGACCCCCAACCCCTTACTGTGACTCCAACATCTGACCCAATACCTCACCCCAACCTCTGACCATAACCCCTGTGACCCCAACACCTCACCCCAACCCCTGAACTCAACACCTGACCATGACCCCGACCCCTGACTGAATCCAACACCAGACCCTGACCCCTGATCATGACCCCAACCCGTGACCCAACACCTCACCCTAACCCCTAACCATGACACTGGAGCCCAACCCCTGACTGTGACCCAAACACCTGACCCCAACCCCTGACTATGACTCCAACCTCTGACCCAACACCTCACCCCAACCTCTGACCATGACATCTGACTGTGACCCCCGCACCTGATCTCAACACCTTGCCATGACATCTGACCCCAACCCCTGACCTTGACACCTGATCTGACTGTGACCCCAATATCTGATGGGGTTATCGGGGGGTCAGGTCATGTGATGGGGAATTTGCTATAACTGGGGCAGACAGAATCTGGAGGAACTGGAAATACCAACCAATCCGCTTCTTCAGTTAGGCTTTGAAGATGAAAGGAAGGAGCTGATTGGTTGCCATGCACAGAGACTCCCCCAATGTATCTTCTAATGCACTTACAATGGCGTCCAGCTGGGTCCCGCCTCCTCCCGGGATTGGCTCCTTCTCTAGACGTCCCGCCAAGTGGCGCGCCCCGTACAGCGAGTCGGTCTCTGACCATTCTCCGAACGCCTCCTCGCCATCCAGGAAGAAGAGCTGCAGAGTCAGCGCCGCCCCCTACAGACCAGAGAGAGGTCAGTGCAGGGCACACACACCACCGGAGCCACCGCTCAGCTCTGTTCAGTCGGTTCTGTGACCTCTGCCAGGCGGGGACACCATGCAGCTCTGACATCCAGTGTCACCTCATCGCCCAATCAGAAGGCTGGAAATCTCCACCCCTCATCAGGCTGTGCAATGCGGCCGGGATGGGGAGTCACAAGACTGGCTGAACAGAACCAGAACCCTTCACCATTTGAGGATCTATACTGGGGGATCAGTGAAAGAGCTCCTCTGGTTGGAGGACGACATGTAGGAGGAGGAGCTGGAGGCGGGTCTGTATATTGGAATTGGTGAACCGGCTCCTGTGATTGGAGGAGGACAAGTAGGAGGAGGAGCTGGTCTACATTGTGGGATCAGTGAGCTGGCTCCTGTGATTGGAGGAGGATATGTAGGAGGAGGAGCTGGGGGCGGATCTATATTGTGAGATCAGTGAGCCGGTTCCTGTGATTGGAGGAGGACATATAGGAGGAGGAGCTGGGGGAGGGTCTATATTGTGGGATCGGTGAGCCGGCTCCTGTGATTGGAGGAGGATATGTAGGAGGAGGAGCTGGATCTATATTGTGGGTATCGGTGAGCTGGCTCCTGTGATTGAAGGGGGGCATATAGGAGGAGGAGCTGGGGGAGGGTCTATATTGTGGGACCGGTGAGCCGGCTCCTGTGATTGGAGGAGGACATATAGGAGGAGGAGCTGGGGGAGGGTCTATATTGTGGGATCAGTGAGCCGGCTCCTGTGATTGGAGGAGGATTTGAAGGAGGAGCTGGGGGCAGGTCTACATTGTCGGATCGGTGAGCAGGCTCCTGTGATTGGAGGACATATAGGAGGAGCTGGGGGAGGGTCTATATGTGGGTATTGGTGAGCTGGCTCCCGTGATTGGAGGAGGACATGTAGGAGGAGGAGCTGGAGGCTGGTCTATATTGTGGGATCAGTGAGCTGGCTCCTATGATTGGAGGACATGTAGGAGGAGGAGCTGGGGGGGAGGGGTTTGTATTTTGGATTCAGTGAGCCGGCTCCTGTGATTGAAGGAGGACAAGTAGGAGGAGGAGCTGGAGGCGGGTCTGTATTTTGGAATCGGTGAGCCGGCTCCTGTGATTGGAGGAGGACATGTAGGAAGAGAAGCTGGGGCCGGATCTAAATTATGGGAGCGGTGAGACGGCTCCTGTGATTGGAGGAGAACATGTAGGAGGAGCTGGGGGAGGGTCTATATTGTGGGATCGATGAGCCGGCTCCTGTGATTGGAGGAGTACATGTAGGAGGAGGAGCTGGGGGAGGGTCTATATTGTGGGATCAGTGAGCCGGCTCCTGTGATTGGAGGAGGATTTGAAGGAGGAGCTGGGGGCAGGTCTATATTGTGGGATCGATGAGCCGGCTCCTGTGATTGGAGGAGTACATGTAGGAGGAGGAGCTGGGGGAGGGTCTATATTGTGGGATCAGTGAGCCGGCTCCTGTGATTGGAGGAGGACATATAGGAGGAGGAGCTGGGGGCAGGTCTACATTGTCGGATCGGTGAGCAGGCTCCTGTGATTGGAGGACATATAGGAGGAGCTGGGGGAGGGTCTATATGTGGGTATTGGTGAGCTGGCTCCCGTGATTGGAGGAGGACATGTAGGAGGAGGAGCTGGATGCTGGTCTATATTGTGGGATCAGTGAGCTGGCTCCTATGATTGGAGGACATGTAGGAGGAGGAGCTGGGGGCGGATTTGTATTTTGGATTCAGTGAGCCGGCTCCTGTGATTGAAGGAGGACAAGTAGGAGGAGGAGCTGGAGGCGGGTCTGTATTTTGGAATCGGTGAGCCGGCTCCTGTGATTGGAGGAGGACATGTAGGAAGAGGAGCTGGGGCCGGATCTAAATTATGGGAGCGGTGAGACGGCTCCTGTGATTGGAGGAGAACATGTAGGAGGAGCTGGGGGAGGGTCTATATTGTGGGATCGATGAGCCGGCTCCTGTGATTGGAGGAGTACATGTAGGAGGAGGAGCTGGGGGATGGGACTACATTTGTGTGATCGGTGAGCCGGCTCCTGTGATTGGAAGAGGACATGTAGGAGGAGGAGCTGGAGGCGGGTCTGTATTTTGGAATCAGTGAGCCGGCTCCTGTGATTGGAGGAGGACATGTAGGAGGAGGAGCTGGGGGACGGGACTACATTGTGGGATCAGTGAGCCGGCTCCTGTGATTGGAGGACATGTAGGAGGAGCTGGGGGCGGGTCTATATTGTGAGATCAGTGAGCCGGCTCCTGTGATTGGAGGAGGACATATAGGCAGAGGAGCTGGGGGCGGGTCTATATTGTGGGTATCGGTGAGCCGGCTCCTGTGATTGGAGGACATGTAGAAGGAGGAGCTGGGGGAGGTCTGTATTTTGGAATCGGTAAAAACGGCTCCTGTGATTGGAGGACATATAGGAGGAGGAGCTGGGGGCAGGTCTATATTGTGGGATCGATGAGCCGCCTCCTGTGATTGGAGGACATGTAGGAGGAGGAGCTGGGGGCGGGTTTATATTGTGGAATCGGTGAGTCGGCTCCTGTGATTGGAGGAAAACATGTAAGAGGAGCTGGGGACGGGTCTATAATGTGGGATCAGTGAGTCGGCTTCTGTGATTGGAGATGTAGGAGGAGGAGCTGGGGGCGAGTCTATACTGGGGAATCGGTGAACCGCCTCCTGTGATTGGTGGAGAAGTAGGAGGAGCTGAGGGCGGGTTAATACTGGGGAAACGGTGAACCGACTCCTGTGATTGGAGAAGTAGGAGGAGGAGTTGGGGGTGGTCTGCATTGTGGGATCGGTGAGCCGCCTCCTGTGATTGGAGGAGATGTAGGAGGAGGAGCTGGGGGCGGGTCTATACTGGGGGGGACTTACTCCTCTCTTCTGATCCTTCAGCCGGTGGTCCAGGACGGTGACGGCCTCCAGGATCAGAGCGCAGGGCACCGCCGAGTCTGTGGCCCCAACAAAGGGCCGCCCCCTCCGGTCCGGGAGAAACCACTTGGAGTCCAGATGACAAGCGCAGACCAGGCGATGCGGGGCCAATGGATCCAATGTGGCTACAACATTTCCGAAGGGGAGCGCCCCCCGCGGGGTCACCGCATCAAACTCGTCCACATCCACCGTCCATCCCGCCGACAACGAGCGCAAGTGACCCGAGATGAGCTGGGAGGAGCAAGAGAGAGCGTCAGGGACCCCGAGAAGAACCGCCCACTGACACACCCACACCTAGGACCACTCCCTGCTATGAGGACCCCTGTACTTGGAGGGATGGGGACCTCTGTACAGGGAGGGATGGGGACCCCTGTAAAGGGAGGGATGGGGACCCCTGTATTGGGAGGGAAGGGGGACCCCTGTACTGGGTGTGACGGGGACCCCTGTACTGGGAGGGATGGGGGACCCCTGTACTGGGTGTGACGGAGACCCCTGTACTGGGAGGGATGGGGACCCCTGTACAGGGAGGGATGGGGACCCCTGTACTGGAAGGGAAGGGGGACCCCTGTACTGGGAGGGATGGGGGACCCCTGTACTGGGTGTGATGGGGACCTCTGTACTGAGAAGGATAGGGACCCCTGTACTGGGTGTTACAGAGACCCCTGTACTGGGAGGGATGGGGGACCCCTGTACTGGGTGTGACGGGGACCCCTGTACTGGGTGTGACGGGGACCTCTGTACTGGAAGGGAAGGGGGACCCCTGTACTGGAAGGGAAGGGGGACCCCTGTACTGGAAGGGAAGGGGGACCCCTGTACTGGGTGTGACGGAGACCCCTGTACTGGGAGGGATGGGGACCCCTGTACAGGGAGGGATGGGGACCCCTGTACTGGAAGGGAAGGGGGACCCCTGTACTGGGTGTGACGGGGACCCCTGTACTGGGTGTGACGGGGGACCCCTGTACTGGGAGGGATGGGGGACCCCTATACTGGGAGGGATGGGGGACCCCTGTACTGGAAGGGAAGGGGGACCCCTGTACTGGGAGGGATGGGGGACCCCTGTACTGGGAGGGATGGGGGACCCCTGTACTGGGTGTGACGGGGACCCCTGTACTGGGTGTGATGGGGACCTCTGTACTGAGAAGGATAGGGACCCCTGTACTGGGTGTTACAGAGACCCCTGTACTGGGAGGGATGGGGGACCCCTGTACTGGGAGGGATGGGGGACCCCTGTACTGGGTGTGACGGGGACCCCTGTACTGGGTGTGATGGGGACCTCTGTACTGAGAAGGATAGGGACCCCTGTACTGGGTGTGACGGAGACCCCTGTACTGGGTGTGACGGGGACCCCTGTACTGGGTGTGACGGGGACCTCTGTACTGGAAGGGAAGGGGGACCCCTGTACTGGAAGGGAAGGGGGACCCCTGTACTGGAAGGGAAGGGGGACCCCTGTACTGGAAGGGAAGGGGGACCCCTGTACTGGGTGTGACGGAGACCCCTGTACTGGGAGGGATGGGGACCCCTGTACAGGGAGGGATGGGGACCCCTGTACTGGAAGGGAAGGGGGACCCCTGTACTGGGTGTGACGGGGACCCCTGTACTGGGTGTGACGGGGGACCCCTGTACTGGGTGTGACGGGGGACCCCTGTACTGGGAGGGATGGGGGACCCCTATACTGGGAGGGATGGGGGACCCCTGTACTGGAAGGGAAGGGGGACCCCTGTACTGGGAGGGATGGGGGACCCCTGTACTGGGAGGGATGGGGGACCCCTGTACTGGGTGTGACGGGGACCCCTGTACTGGGTGTGATGGGGACCTCTGTACTGAGAAGGATAGGGACCCCTGTACTGGGTGTTACAGAGACCCCTGTACTGGGAGGGATGGGGGACCCCTGTACTGGGAGGGATGGGGGACCCCTGTACTGGGTGTGACGGGGACCCCTGTACTGGGTGTGATGGGGACCTCTGTACTGAGAAGGATAGGGACCCCTGTACTGGGTGTGACGGAGACCCCTGTACTGGGTGTGACGGGGACCCCTGTACTGGGAGGGATGGGAACCTCTGTACTGGGAGGGATGGGGGACCCCTGTACTTGGGGGGATGGGGGACCCCTGTACTGGGTGTGATGGGGACCTCTGTACTGAGAAGGATGGGGACCCCTGTACTGGGTGTGACGGAGACCCCTGTACTGGGTGTGACGGGGACCCCTGTACTGGGGAGGGATGGGGACCCCTGTACTGGGATTAATGGGGTTCCCTGTACTGGAGGGGTGTGCAGTTTGTGATTGGCTGGCTCTGTGGGCGGGACTCACCTCTCTCACCCGCCGGTTTCCCGGGACTCCCCGGACTTCTCTCTATCAGCATGGGGCGGATGAAGAACGACCACAGACGGGCCACATCGATCTCCGACACCAACCGACGGATGTGATTGGAGGAGAGGGGCCGGGGCTGAATCTGGAACTGAGGAGAGAGCCAATCAGAACTCACACTGCCAGCCCCACCCACCACTGACATCATGCAGCCAAAAGCCACACACCAGATATGCCCCTCCCACACCCCCTATGCCAGGTCTATGCCCCTCCCACACCCCCTTTAAACCAGGTCTATGCCCCTCCCACATCCCTTTAAACCAGGTCTATGCCCCTCCCACACCCCCTATGCCAGGTCTATGCCCTCCCACACCCCTTTATACCAGCTCTGCCCCTCCCACACCCCCTATACCAAGTCTATGCCCCTCCCACACCCCCTATATCAGGTCTATGCCCCTCCCACACCCCCTTTATACCAGGTCTATGCCCCTCACACACCTCCTATACCAGGTCTATTCCCCTCCCACACCCCTTTATACCAGCTCTGCCCCTCCCACACCCCCTATACCAAGTCTATGCCCCTCCCACACCCCCTATATCAGGTCTATGCCCCTCCCACAACCCCTATGCCAGGTCTATGCCCCTCCCACAACCCCTATGCCAGGTCTATGCCCCTCCCAAACCCCTATACCAGGTCTATGCCCCTCCCAAACCCCTTTTACCATGTCTATACCCCTCCCACACCCCTTTATACCAGGTCTATGCCCCTCCCACACCCCCTTATACCAGGTCTATGCCCCTCCCACACCCCCTATACCAAGTGTATGCCCCTCCCACACTCCCTATATCATGTTTATGCCCCTCCCACACCCGCTATGCCAGGTCTATGCCCCTCCCAAACCCCTATATACCATGTCTATGCCCCTCCCACACCCCTTTATACCAGGTCTATGCCCCTCCCACACCCCTTTATACCAGGTCTATGCCCCTCCCACACCCCTTTATACCAGGTCTATGCCCCTCCCACACCCCCTTATACCATGTCTATGCCCCTCCCACACCCCCTTATACCAGGTCTATGCCCCTCCCACACACCCCTTATACCAGGTCTAGGCTCCTCCCACACCCCCTATACCAGGTCTATGTGTAACAGACATGTAAGATTTGAGTGGAAATATGGAATCAGCCATGACAGGCGAGTAGATGAGATGAGGCCACGCCCTCTCATTACAAAGGTGTGTTCAGGAACAGTCTGGTCATTAAGGATGTATATGGGGCCCCTGGGCAGTAGGGTAAGGATGTATATGGGGCCCCTGGGCAGTAGGGTAAGGATGTATATGGGGCCCCTGGGCAGTAGGGTAAGGATGTATATGGGGCCCCTGGGCAGTAGGGAAATGAGAAGAAGGTACAGACAATGGTCATCCATGGATCTGGGATACAGATGTGTATGTACAGTGGGGGATGGAAAGTTTGGGCACCCCAGCTAAAAATGTGTATTAATGTGCATAAAGAAGCCAAGGAAAGATGGAAAAATCTCCAAAAGGCATCAAATTCCAGATTAGACATTCTTATAATATGTCAACAAAAGTTAGATTTTATTTCCATCATTTACACTTTCAAAATAACAGAAAACAAAAAAATGGCGTCTGCAAAAGTTTGGGCCCCCTGCAGAGTTTATAGCATGCACTGCCCCCTTTGCCAAGCTGAGACCTGCCAGTGTCATGGATTGTTCTCAATCATCGTCTGGGAAGACCAGGTGATGTCAATCTCAAAGGTCTTAAATGCCCCGACTCATCTGACCTTGCCCCAACAATCAGCACCATGGGTTCTTCTAAGCAGTTGTCTAGAAAACTGAAACTGAAAATAGTTGACGCTCACAAAGCTGGAGAAGGCTATAAGAAGATAGCAAAGCGTTTTCAGATGTCAATATCCTCTGTTCGGAATGTCATTAAGAAATGACAGTCATCAGGAATAGTGGAAGTTAAAGCAACATCTGGAAGACCAAGAAAAATATCAGACAGAACAGCTCGCAGGATTGTGAGAAAAAACAATTGAAAACCCACGTTTGACTGCACGATCCCTCCAGAAAGATGTGGCAGACACTGGAGTTGTGGTCACTATTCCACTATAAAGAGATACTTGTACAAATATGGGCTTCATGGAAGAGTCATCAGAAGAAAACCTCTTCTACGTCCTCACCACAAAAATCATCGTTTGAACTTTGCAAATGAACATATAGACAAGCCTGATGCATTTTGGAAACAAGTTCTGTGGACCGATGAGGTTAAAATGGAACTTTTTTGGCCGGAATGAGCAAAGGTACGTTTGGAGAAGAAGGGGCACAGAATTGAATGAAAAGAACCTCTGTCCAACTGTGAAGCATGGGGTTGGATCAATCATGCTTTGGGGTTGTGTTGCAGCCAGTGGCACAGGGAACATCTCACGAGTAGAAGGAAAAATGGATTCAATAAAATTTCAGCAAATTTTGGATGGTAACTTGATGCCATCTGTGAAAAAGCTGAAGTTAAAGAGAGGATGGCTTCTACAAATGCATAATGATCCTAAACACACCTGGAAATCCACGGGGGATTACATCAAGAGGTGTAAACTGAAGGTTTTGCCATGGCCTTCACAATCTCCTGACCTCAACATCATTGAAAATCTATGGATAGACCTTAGAAGAGCCGTGCGTGACAGACAGCCCAGAAATCTCAAAGAACTGGAAGACTTTTGTAAGGAAGAATGGGCAAAGATACCTCAAACAGGAACTGAAAGACTCTTGGCTGGCTACAAAAAGCGTTTACAAGCCGTGATACTTGCCAAAGGGGGCAGTACAAGATATTAACTCTGCAGGGGGCCCAAACTTTTGCAGACGCCATTTTTTTGTTTTCTGTTATTTTGAAAGTGTAAATGATGGAAATAAAATCTAACTTTTGTTGACATATTATAAGAATGTCTAATCTGTAATTTGATGCCTTTTGGAGATTTTTCCATCTTTCCTCGGCTTCTTTATGCACATTAATACACATTTGTAGCTGGGGGGCCCAAACTTTCCATCCCCACTGTATACACAATGACTCCATAGGCCTTACAGACCCAATCATCATTTAGCATCAATTAGTCACAAGCCCCGCCTCCTGGAGGTGACACCTTTTGTGTGGCAATCAGGTTATCACTTTCTGGGAGAACAGGTTTGGAGCCAATGAGAGGAGACAGACGGTCTGCCTGATGTGGAAGCTCTATAGGGATCATTCACATCAAAGGAGTTCCCTCCCTCATAACAGCTGAATGTGAGTTGCAGAGACATGAACATACTCCCTTCTTGTAGGGCGCTCTGTGCGCTGCATCTGCATATAACAATCATATTTGTGGCTTGGGGAGGAGCCAGGGAAATGCAGGGAATGATTAGATGACGCGGGGGGGTGACAGTCGGATGGTGTTTGGTACTGTTGTGATCGGGCTGACGTGCTGGTGTCAGAAATCCAATCCCCGACTTGGTGTTCAGGCCACTCTCGGCCCAATTGAACTTGGGCAGGTCCATACACAGTACCTCTTGTGGGCAGGTCAGGACCACCTCCCCCAGAGTCAATTGGCCGAAGACTAATGTCCCGCCCATCTCCAAATCCCAATAAATTGAACGCACGGACATTTGGATATTTGTGATCCGTACGGAGCTGGTCGATGGACCAATGGATGGCTGAGTTTCTGGCTTGCTCCAGCCGCAGGGTGACGTGTTATTCTGTCTTTTATTCCCTTTTATAGTAATCAGTCATTTGTGTGTCTTCTTATATCTTTGTATTTCTGGAACTTGTTATACTTTGTACATAAATGACGCACGGAGTGATCTGTAGGTGTCACTTCTACGGAGCGTCCGACCTTCAGTACACGGGGTACATGACTAAGCCACTAATGTACTAAGCGGATCCCACCGCTGCCACCAATCTGTCACGTGTCCCCCACACGCCACGCCCACCGCGACAGAATAAAGAGGGGGAATAAAGGGATTTACACTTAAATATCTAACACCGTATATAAGATCAGCCGTGATATCCTTCCACAGCCGCACTACCTCTGCCCACCACCGGGGGAGACTCCACTCCACTCCAGCCGGCTGACCACACCCCGCACTACCTCTGCCCACCACCGGGGGAGACTCCACTCCAATCCAGCCGGCTGACCACACACTGGCAGATACCATCTTACATACAATCTGCTGCCCTGATTAGAGTCGAGGACCAGTTTAGTAATTACCCGCCCTTCTAGGGTCCCTCCAGCTATTCCACAAGCCAGAACCCCGGAGTTATCACCCTTCCACTGTCCACACCCCCCTGCACCAGACACACCCCTCCCCCACCCCCCTGCACCAGACACACCCCTTCCCCCACACCCCCCTGCACCAGACACACCCCTCCCCCACACCCCCCTGCACCAGACACACCCCTCCCCCACACCCCCCTGCACCAGACACACCCCTCCCCCACACCCCCCCGCACCAGACACACCCCTTCCCCACACCCCCCCGCACCAGACACACCCCTTCCCCACACCCCCCCGCACCAGACACACCCCTTCCCCACACCCCCCCCGCACCAGACACACCCCTCCCCCACACCCCCCCGCACCAGACACACCCCTTCCCCACACACCCCCGCACCAGACACACCCCTTCCCCACACCCCCCTGCACCAGACACACCCCTTCCCCACACCCCCCTGCACCAGACACACCCCTCCCCCACACCCCCCTGCACCAGACACACCCCCCCTCCCCCACACACCCCCACACCAGACACATGACTGGTAGCCTGACTCCACCCAACAGTTTATCTACAGAACGGTCTGCTGGGACACCCCACACACACAGATCTCCGTCTGGCCGATCTGTTACCTTTGCAATCTGCCCACACACAGTGCAATTGCATACAGATTGGCAATGAGCTGACCGAGCGTTTAAAGGCCCTAAAATACAATCCGATCTAATCTCCCCGATCCAGTCTCCCCGATCCAGTCTCCCCGATCCAGTCTCCCCGATCCAATCTCCCCGATCCAATCTCTCCGATCCAATCTCCCCGATCCAATCTCTCCGATCCAGTCTCCCCGATCCAATCTCTCCGATCCAGTCTCCCCGATCCAATCTCTCCGATCCAGTCTCCCCGATCCAATCTCTCCGATCCAGTCTCCCCGATCCAGTCTCCCCGATCTAATCCCTCCAATCTGATCTCCCCAATCTAATCTCCCCGAAGATAGGACCCCGAGCTTAAATACACGGAAGTCACTAATTAATTTTAGGATTTAATTTCCCAAAGTGGGCGGGGCATAAAATATGTACAAAGTATAAAAAGATACAGAAATACAAAGATATAAGAAGACACACAAATGACTGATTACTATAAAAGGGAATAAAAGACAGAATAACACGTCACCCTGCGGCTGGAGCGAGCCAGAAACTCAGCCATCCATTGGTCGATCGACCAGCTCCGTACGGATCACCCTGTCCAAATGTCCGTGTACCCAATTAATTGGGATTAGGACATGGGCGGGACATTAGTCTTCGGCCAATTGCTTCTGGGGGAGGTGGTCCTGACCTGCCCACAAGAGGTACTGTGTATGGACCTGCCCAAGTTCAATTGGGCCGAGACTGGCCTGAACACCAAGTCGGGGATTGGATTTCTGACACCAGCGCGTCAGCCCGATCACAACAGTACCAAACACCATCCGACTGTCGCCCCCCCGCGTCATCTAATCATTCCATGCATTTCCTGGCTCCTCCCCAATCCACACATATGATTGTTATATGCAGATGCAGCGCACAGAGCGCCCTACAAGAAGGGAGTATGTTCATCTCTCCAACTCACATTCAGCTGTTATGAGGGAGGGAACTCCTTTGATGTGAATGATCCCTATAGAGCTCCCACATCAGGCAGACCGTCTGTCTCCTCTCATTGGCTCCAAACCTGTTCTCCCAGAAAGTGATAACCTGATTGCCACACAAAGGTGTCACCTCCAGGAGGCGGGGCTTGTGACTAATTGATGCTAAATGATGATTGGGTCTGTAAGGCCTATGGAGTCATTGTGTATAATACACATCTGACCCCAGATCCATGGATGACCCTTGTTTGTACCTTCTATTCATTTCCCCTACTGCCCAGGGGCCCAATATACATCCTTACCCTACTGCCCAGGGGCCCCATATACATCCTTACCCTACTGCCCAGGGGCCCCATATACATCCTTACCCTACTGCCCAGGGGCCCCATATACATCCTTACCCTACTGCCCAGGGCCCCATATACATCCTTACCCTACTGCCCAGGGGCCCCATATACATCCTTACCCTACTGCCCAGGGGCCCCATATACATCCTTACCCTACTGCCCAGGGGCCCCATATACATCCTTAATGACCAGACTGTTCCTGCACACACCTTTGTAATGAGAGGGCGTGGCCTCATCTACTCACCTGTCATGGCTGATTCCATATTCCCACTCAAATCTTACATGTCCGTTACACTATGCCCCTCCCACACACCCTATATCAGGTCTATGCCCCTCCCACACCCCCTACGTCAGGTCTATGCCCCTCCCACACCCCCTACATCAGGTCTATGCCCCTCCCACACCCCCTACGTCAGGTCTATGCCCCTCCCCACACCCCCTATACCAGGTCTATACCCCTCCCATACCCCCTTATACCAGGTTTATGCCCCTCCCACACCCCTATACCAGGTATATGACCCTCCCACACCCCCTTATACCAGGTCTAAGCCCCTCCCACACACCCTTATATACCAGGTCTAAGCCTCTCGCACACCCCTATACAATGTGCAAGCCCCTCCCATACCTGCTATATGAGTAAGCCCCTCCCACACTTCCTATACGTGTGAGCTCCTCCCACACACCCCTATACAAAGTATGAAAGCCCCTCCCACACACCCCCTGCACAATGTGTAAGCCCCTTCTACACCTCCGGGACAATCTGTAAGCCACTCCCACACCCCTATACAATGTGTAAGCCCCTCCCACACACCCTATACAATGTGTAAGCTCCTCCCACAGCCCCTGTACGATGTGTATGCTCCTCCTACACACCCCCTACACAATGTGTAAGCTCCTCCCACAACCACTATATCATGTGCAAGCTCCTCCCACAACCCCTATACAATGTATAATCTTCTCCCACACCCCTAATCAATGTCTAAGCCCCTCCCACACACCCTATACAATGTGTAAACCCCTCCCACACCCTATACAATGTGTAAGCCCCTCCCACAACCCCTATACAATGTGTAAACCCCTCCCACACACCTATACAATGTGTAAGCCCCTCCCACAACCCCTATACAATGTGAAAGCCCCTCCCACACCTTTATACAATGTGAAAGCTCCTCCCACACCTCATGTACAACGTTTAAGCCCCTCCCACACCCATACACAATGTGTAAGCTCCTCCCATAACCACTATACAATGTGGAAGCTCCTCCCACACCCCTATATCACGTGCAAGCTCCTCCCACACCCCCTAATCAATGTATAAGCCCCTCCCACACTCCCTATACAATGTGTAAGCTCCTCCCACACTTCCTATACAATGTGTAAGCCCCTCCCACACCCCTATATCATGTGTAAGCCCCTCCCACATCCCCTATACAATGTGTAAGCCCCTCCCACATCCCCTATACAATGTATAAGCCTGTCCCACCTCTCTAGATATGTGTAAGCTCCTCCCACCTCTCTAGATAATGTGTAAGCTCCTCCCACACACCCCTGTACAACGTGAAAACCCCTCCCACACCCTCTAAACAATGTGTAAGCTCCTCCTACCCCTCTATACAATGTGTAAGCTCCTCCCACCCCTCTATTTCTCCTCCTACACACCCCTGACACCACATTAGGCCCCTCCCACACACCATGTGATCCGAATAACCCGGCACGCCCCTCCCCGGGCTCACCTGTCTGGCTCTCGGCTCCTCCTCCCTGACTCCGCCCCCTGTTGGGTTCTCCCAGAACAATATGACAGCTCCGATCAGCACTCCTGCCCCCAGCACCAGCAGTCCCGGGATTCGGGTGTTCGGCGCTCCGGCGGGTGTTCGGTGTTGCGAGCAGCTCGGCGTGGAGACATCGGGGAAAAGAAGCATGACAGAACAGGGCGACCAATCACAGCCGAGGAGGCGGGGACTCTGCTCCGCCCCCCACCGAACACTAATAATCATTCACCCAATAGAAGCGCGAAGAAGGTAAACAGAGGTAGAGAGCGCCGTCCAATCAGAGCTCAGGGGCGGAGCCGGTCGGTGACAGCTCAGCGTATACTTCCCGCTCTCTGATTGGTTGTCAGGCCGCCGCTGGTTGCTGTGAGGCCGCCGTCGCCATGTTGGAGAAGGGAAACGGTTACCACGTGTTACCATCCCGCCGACCAATCAGAGACGAGTCCCCGCCACACACCGTCCAATCCGATCGTACAAAAGGAAGCAGAGTGGGCGGAGCTCTCTGAGATATGTCTGCCCCCATTTCTCTATGACACCCTCTGAGGGGCAAGTCAGGATTGCTGCAAATTGTGGCAAAATCAGCCAATCAGGGAGTAATCCAAACCCCCAAGTCACCGCCCCCTAGGAGGAGGACTAGCCCACAAATAATAACTGCCACATGACCCCTCCTCCATTATAGATGGAACATTCCGGAGATCTTTGTTCATATGTAGGCGGAGTATCTCCCTGATGTGGGCGGAGTTCTCCACTTACATGGTACCACCCTCCAAATAGTGCCATTTATAGTGTGAACCAATCAGATGAGAAGAGCTGCTGCTGGGTAATGCAGGTTCTCCGGGACCCGACTGAGTCACTGTCCCACCGAGACCGGTACAGGCCCAGATGGACCACCAAAGGTCAAGATGGGCCAGTACAGGCCAAGATGGACCACCAAAGGTCAAGATGAGCCAGTACAGGCCAAGATGGGCCACCAAGATGGACCAGTACAGGCCAAGATGGGCCACCAAGATGGACCAGTACAGGCCAAGATGGACCACCAAAGGTCAAGATGGACCACCAAAGGTCAAGATGGGCCACCGAGATGGACCAGTACAGGTCATGATGAACCACCAAGGTGGACCAGTACAGGCCGAGATGGACCACCAAGATGGAAGGTACAGGCCGAGATGGACCACCAAGATGGACCAGTACAGGCCGAGATGGACCACCAAGATGGACCAGTACAGGCCGAGATGGACCACCAAGATGGACCAGTACAGGCCGAGATGGACCACCAAGATGGACCAGTACAGGCCGAGATGGACCACCAAGATGGACCAGTACAGGCCGAGATGGACCACCAAGGTGGACCAGTACAGGCCAAGGTGGACCAGTGCAGGCCAAGGTGAGCCACCACAATGGACCAGTACAGGCCGAGATAGATCACCGAGATGGACCAGTACAGGCCGAGATGGACCACCGAGATGGACCAGTACAGGCCGAGATAGATCACCGAGATGGACCAGTACAGGCAGAGATGGACCACTGAGATGGACCAGTACAGGCAGAGATGGACCAGTACAGGCTGAGATGAACCAGTACAGTACACTCCAGGTCTCTCAGATTGGAAGGTTCCTTTCCCCAACTGCAGGTCTGAGATCTCTCCACAGGAGCTCTATGGGATGGAGATCTGGACTCATTGCTGGCCAGTCCAGTCCTCTCCAGCACTTTGTCTGACACCATCTCTGGGGGCTTTTTGACGTGTGCTTTGGGGTCATTGTCCTGCTGGAAGACCCCTGACCTCTGATGGAGACCCAACTTTCTGACCAGCCACGCTCTAGAGGTTAGTCAGTAAGGTTGGAGAAGGACATCGCTCCACCCAGTTGACCCCAAGAGTGAGATGTCACCACCACATACCGTATCCCTGTATGTTCTGTTCTACAAGAACCTCCTCTATTGTATGAATTTATTTTCTATGTCCCCCCCCCCACCACCAACTGGGGAAGGAGATCCACATCCTCCCCCTGGGGACTCCTCCCCCCTCACAATACACGAATCAGAGCTACAGCCCCATCACTGAGCTCCTCCATCTCCTATCTCTGAGCTCCTCCACCCCCCATCACTGACCTCCTCCACCACCTCCCCTCCCCCCATCACTGAGCTCCTCCACCCCCCATCACTGAGATCCTCCATCTCCCCCCATCACTGAGCTCCTCCATCTCCCCCCATCACTGAGCTCCTCCATCTCCCCCCATCACTGAGCTCCTCCATCTCCCCCCATCACTGAGCTCCTCCATCTCCCCCCATCACTGAGCTCCTCCATCTCCCCCCATCACTGAGCTCCTCCATCTCCCTCCTCACAATACATGGACCAGAGCTACATCCCCATCACTGAACTCCTCCATCCCCTATCGCTGAGCTTCTGATCTCCACCCACCCCCCATCACTGAGCTCCTCCATCTCCCCCATCACTGAGCTCCTCCATCCCCCCTCACCACTAAGCTCCCTCCATCCCCCCCTCACCACTGAGCTCCTCCATCCCCCCTCACCACTGAGCTCCTCCATCCCCCCTCACCACTGAGCTCCTCCATCCCCCCTCACAATACACATATTAGAGCTACAGCTTTCATGGAACCAAAAGTTCCATCATCTGTGACCAGCTTTACAGAATGGAACCTACTGATTGTGTGGCCACATATCCCCCCATAACTGAGCTCCTCCACCCCCATCACTGACCTCCATCTCCCCCCATCACCGACCTCCTCCACCTCCCCCCTTCACCGACCTCCTCCACCCCCCCCCCCCACCATCACTGAGCTCCTCCACCTCCATCTCCCCCATCACTGAGCTCCTCCATCTCCCCCCCCCCCCCCCCGAGCTCCTCCATTTCCCCCATCACTGACCTCCTCCATTTCCCCCCATCACTAACCTTCACCTCCCCCCCATCACTGAGCTCCTCCTCCACCTCCTCCCATCACTGAGCTCCTCCACCTCCTCCCATCACTGAGCTCCTCCACCTCCTCCCATCACTGACCTCCTCCATCTCCCCCCACTGACCTCCTCCACCCCCCCCCACCATCACTGACCTCCTCCACCCCCCCCCCCCCATCACTGACCTCCTCCATCCCCTATCTCTGAGCTCCTCCACCCCCCATCACTGACCTCCTCCACCTCCCCCCATCACTGACCTCCTCCACCTCCCCTCCCCCCATCATCACTGACCTCCTCCACCCCCCATCACTGAGCTCCTCCATCCCCCATCACTGAGCTCCTCCATCCCCCCTCACAATACACAGATTAGAGCTACAGCCTTCATGGAACCAAAAGTTCCATCATCTGTGACCAGCTTTACAGAATGGAAACTTCTCATTGTGTGGCCACATATCCCCCCATAACTGAGCTCCTCCACCTCCCCCCCCCCCCATCACTGACCTCCCCCCCCCTCCCCCCATAACTGAGCTCCTCCACCTCCCCCCCCCCCCCCCATCACTGACCTCCCCCCCCCCCCCATCACTGACCTCCCCCCCCCCTCCCCCCATCACTGACCTCCTCCACCTCCCCCCATCACTGACCTCCTCCATCTCCCCCCCATCACTGAGCTCCTCCACCTCCCCCCATCACTGACCTCCTCCACCTCCCCCCATCACTGACCTCCTCCACCTCCCCCCATCACTGACCTCCTCCATCTCCCCCCATCACTGACCTCCTCCATCTCCCCCCATCACTGACCTCCTCCACCCCCCCCATCACTGACCTCCTCCACCCCCCCCATCACTGACCTCCTCCACCCCCCCCATCACTGACCTCCTCCACCTCCCCCCATCACTGAGCTCCTCCATCTCCCCCCCCATCACTGAGCTCCTCCATCTCCCCCCATCACTGACCTCCTCCATCTCCCCCCATCACTGACCTCCTCCATCTCCCCCCATCACTGACCTCCTCCACCTCCCCCCATCACTGACCTCCTCCACCTCCCCCCATCACTGACCTCCTCCACCTCCCCCCATCACTGACCTCCTCCACCTCCCCCCCATCACTGACCTCCTCCCACCTCCCCCCATCACGAGCTCCTCCACCTCCCCCCATCACCGACCTCCTCCACCTCCCCCCATCACCGACCTCCTCCACCTCCCCCCCATCACCGAGCTCCTCCACCTCCCCCCATCACCGAGCTCCTCCACCTCCCCCCCATCACCGAGCTCCTCCACCTCCCCCCATCACCGAGCTCCTCCACCTCCCCCCATCACCGACCTCCTCCACCTCCCCCCATCACTGACCTCCCCCCCCCCCCCCCCCCATCACTGACCTCCTCCATCTCCCCCCATCACTGACCTCCTCCACCTCCCCCCATCACTGACCTCCCCCCCTCCCCCCATCACTGACCTCCCCCACCTCCCCCCATCACTGACCTCCTCCACCCCCCCCATCACTGACCTCCTCCACCTCCCCCCATCACTGACCTCCCCCCCCTCCCCCCATCACTGACCTCCCCCACCTCCCCCCATCACTGACCTCCTCCACCTCCCCCCATCACTGACCTCCTCCACCTCCCCCCATCACTGACCTCCTCCACCCCCCCCCATCACTGACCTCCTCCACCTCCCCCCATCACTGACCTCCTCCACCTCCCCCCATCACTGACCTCCTCCACCTCCCCCCATCACTGACCTCCTCCACCTCCCCCCATCACTGACCTCCTCCACCTCCCCCCATCACTGACCTCCTCCACCTCCCCCCATCACTGACCTCCTCCATCTCCCCCCATCACTGACCTCCTCCACCCCCCCCATCACCGACCTCCTCCACCTCCCCCCATCACTGACCTCCATCTCCCCCCATCACTGACCTCCTCCATCTCCCCCCATCACTGACCTCCTCCACCCCCCCCATCACTGACCTCCTCCACCTCCCCCCATCACTGACCTCCTCCATCTCCCCCCATCACCGAGCTCCTCATCAGCTGTATTGTCCTTCTCTGGAGTGTCTCCAGTTCCAGCACATCCTTCCTGAGGACTGGTGACCAGAACTGCACAGAATACTCCAGATGTGGCCGGACCAGAGTTCCGGAAAGTGGTGGAATTATAGATTTCTCTCCCCCACTCCTCCTGGCCCTGCTCCTATCTCAAGACTGAGCCCCCGACACCCCGCTCAGAAGATGCACCATCTCCCACCA